AATCGACTTTGGTAAGGCGTGGGATACCCACTTACCCCTAGTCGAGTTTTCCTACAACAACAGTTATCACACAAGCATCAAAGCTGCCCCATTCGAAGCCCTATACGGCCGGAAGTGCAGATCCCCTCTGTGCTGGGCCGAGGTAGGCGACACTCAATTAGCTAAGGGACGAGTTCCTGACAGCACTCTCACCGGTCCAGAAATCATCCGCGAAACCACCGAAAAGATCGTACAAATCCGAGCACGACTTAAAGCCTCAAGAGACCGACAGAAAAGCTACGCAGACAAACGGAGGAAACCCTTGGAATTCCAGGTGGGAGACCGAGTCCTTTTGAAAGTCTCACCCTGGAAAGGCTTGATACGCTTCGGAAAGCGCGGAAAGCTGAATCCAAGATACATAGGGCCTTTTGAGATTCTCGCTAGAATCGGCCCCGTAGCTTACAAACTCAATCTACCCCGCGAACTTAGTAATGTGCATCCTACCTTCCACGTCTCGAACTTGAAAAAGTGCCTATCCGAAGAGACTCTCATAATTCCACTCGATGAAATCGAGATCAATGAGAGCCTCAACTTCGTGGAAGAACCTGTGGAGATCATGGACCGAGAGGTCAAACGAACGAAGCAAAGCCGCATCCCGATTGTGAAGGTTCGTTGGAACGCCAAACGAGGACCAGAGTTCACTTGGGAGCGCGAGGATCAAATGAAACTTAACTATCCTCATCTCTTTGCTTAGTTGTGTTGTAATAACGTAACTACTTGAATTCTGAATTTCGGGACGAAATTCCCTCTAACGGGGGGATGATGTGACAACCCGAAATTTACTCCGTCACTGTAACCCGTTTCCGTTAATAAAAGTTAGTTCTATTAAAATTTTCCGTTAACTTTTATTTATTAAAATAATTCATTTTGAGTTATTAAAATAAATAATATATAATGACGGAATAAAAACAACTAAGTCGGGTTACGGTTAGTTTACCCGGTAAAAACATTTAGCTCCGTTTAAACGACAGTGTATGGTGGGTTCCCACTAGGCAGCCATATATAAGGGAGGAGTGTCCACCTTTAGAGCCTTTTCCCACCTTGGAGCTTTCTCTCTCTACTTTCTCTCTCTAAAATCGGGTTTGGCCAAGATCACCACTTTCAAGCTCAAAAATCAAAGGTAATCTTCCTAACTTGTTGTTTAACTTAGTATTCATGCCATTTCAGTTGAATCATCCAAATGCCTCAACATGCATGTGTTTACGGTTTGGGGAGCCTCCCAAAACCGTGAACTCCCAAAAAGGGGTTTAGAAGCCCCAAAAACACTTCCAAACCTTCTCTAATGCTTAGATATAGCTTAGATACTTGCATGCATGGACTAAGGAACCCAAGATCGTGACTTTTTGGCCATAAACTTGAGTTTACGGTTCTTGAACATTCAAAAACCGTAAACCCAAAAACCGTAAACACCTCAAATGGTGTTTTGATGCCCCTAAACCCTTCCTTAGCTTGTTTGATGAACTAGAAACTAGTGTAAATGAGCTTAGGACCTTGAAACATGAAATGGTTGAAGTGGTCAAGGGTTTACGGCCGTAAACCCTAGAGTTTACGACCGTAAACTCCTGGAGTTTACGACCGTAAACTCCCAAGGAGTGGTCCAAGGACCGTAAACTCCAAGGGAGTACCCAATTGAACCCTAATCACTTCCCAAGCCTTCGAATTGATCCTAGAAGCCTTCCTTGTGATGCATGAGACCTTTAGACACACAAACTCACCATTTCCATGAGTTTACGGCCGTAAACTCATGGGGGAAATGGTCTCCCAACCGTAAACACACTTAAGTGTGGCCAAGTGAAGTGTAAACTCCATAGTGAGGCCATACACTCCTTAGATGCAACCTTTAGCACTCCTAACACTTGAAACAAAGTGTTTTCATACATTAAAGTGCCTTTACTCACTTAATTAGTGATTACACAACTAATTAGATACTTTATACATCACTACATGTTACATAGGATCCGTGTGTGTGTTCAAGTCCTCACTTGACACCTAGCATCCTACCCGGCGTTTCCATCCACTTCACTCACTACAGGTGAGTTCATACCCCTAAATGAACCTTTTTAAATGTTTTTAACTGTTTTATGGGGGGGGGGGGAATACAAGTTGAACCAACTAAGTTATAGTAACAATCGCATGTGAATATAACTTGCAACCAAAAGGATTTTCTACACTATTAACTGTTTTTACCACCAAAAAGGGATTTTCTATATTTTCAACTATATTGCCAATTAAACTGTTTTCAAATGCTTACCAAATTCATTTTCGTGTTAAATCACTATAAAACTATTTTTCCAAAATTCGTTTAAACAAATTTTTAGTCTCAAACCATATCTACACCAATATATTTATATAAGTAAGACTTGAAGGACTTAGGACTAATAGCTCACCTTATTTCCTGTTCTTGTTTGATTGTGGGCTTAGGGTATTTTGTTATTAGTCCGACTCTCGTTGAATTCTTAGTTATATATCTTATATATTTGTGTCAGATATAAAAGTTTTCATATCAGTTCAATGCCTTTGGATATCAAAGACATGCAACCAACAATACTATTTAACTATAATAGGTATCTACACCAATATATTTATATAAGTAAGACTTGAAGGACTTAGGACTAATAGCTCACCTTATTTCCTGTTCTTGTTTGATTGTGGGCTTAGGGTATTTTGTTATTAGTCCGACTCTCGTTGAATTCTTAGTTATATATCTTATATATTTGTGTCAGATATAAAAGTTTACATATACTCAATGCTACTATGCCATGACAACTACCAGAGTCAGTTCAGTTGTGAGTCAATATATGCTATGTACTATACAAGAGAACACTATATACTATACAAGAAGAACATTACATACTATACAAAGAGAACACTACATACTATACAAGAGAACTTACTAAAATAGAATGTGACATACTATTTCTCGATACGACACATCTTTGTGCTATCACCGCGTAACCAGAGTCTCCTGGAGGGAGAGCGGGCATTATGTGTATAGATCTATACGGGACAGACACTCCCACATCCCGACTGCTAGCTACAGTCCGAGCCGTCTAGGCCCAGGGGTGACAAAATGTCACATCTACATATGACTCGGAGGGTCAAAGGGATTCGATCGTCAATCAGCATGGTTACGTACGAGTTCACATTCAAACCTTTAATTAATACTTTAAAAATTAAAGGCAACAGACTCCCTGAGGAGTATTGTACATTTAATACTACCTGGAGCCTGCATTTCATTACATATGGCCGACAGTGATACTGTTGGGGTAAAACATTTTTCTCATTACTATACATGAATAAAGTTGAAAACTATATTTTCATACTAATAACTACTAGGAAAAACTTGTACATTTTCGAAGGAACAAACAAACCATCGGGTCTTGGAAAAGACTACTTTTCTGGAAAACATAGGGTTTTCTAGGGCTCATACTCTTTTCAAACATCGAAATTTTTCTTTTACAATGTATAAATGTGAATATTTTTATACAGGAAATGACACTAAATACTTATGAACTCACCAGCTTTATGCTGATAAACGTTTTCAAAATAACTTGTATTCTCAGGTCATCAGTAGACAGGTACGGATGCCGCTTTTGAGAAGACGGAGCACACATAAGACTCCACTTTATTTTGATTGTATTTTTGGCGTCTAACATTTGTACTGAACACGTTTGTATTACAATTATTATCTTAATGCAATGGATGTTGTTGCTTGTCTTTACTATTATGCTTTGTTATGATACTGTACATGACGTCCTCCACCCCAGAACGTATTCCGCCGTTCTCGGTTTTGGGGTGTGACAGACTCTCTCGGGATATAAAGTGTGGTTAGTGGAAAACGGCACAATCATCAATATGAGATTGATTGTGATGGGACTTTTAGTTCGGTTGTAAAACCGGCCACCATTCGCACGATACTCTGTCTGACCATCTCCAGACACTGGCCCTTTCATCAGCTGAACGTGAAGAACGCCTATCTTCACGGTCACCTTCAGGAGACAATTTACATGCTTTAGCTCTTGGGCTTTCGAGATCACCAGCATCCGAACTACGTTTGTCACATTCAGTGATCATTATACGACCTCAAACAACCCCTCGGGCATGGTATCAACGGTTTGCTCAACATGCCCTTCGCATGAGGTTTCAACATAGTCTTGTAGCTTTATCTTTATTTATTTATCATAATGGCGTTGATACTGTTTATCTCTTGATTTATGTTGATGACATTGTCTTCGAAACGACAGGGAGTTATTTCTCGGTCTAGTGTCGAGGCAGTATTGTGGCGTTGCTAACGTCGTCGCAGAGACATGATGGGTTCGTAATATATTACGTTAGCTTCGGTGTCAGGCTACCAAAGCCACCACCGTCTATTGTGATAATATTAGCTCAGTCTACGTGTCTGTGAACCCATTTCAGCACCAACATACGAAGTACATTGAGTTTGACATTTATTTTGTACGTGATTTGGTTGCTCGAGGCTTTGTTCGAGTCTTTCATGTTCCGCCTTCTGCTCAGTATGCCGACATCTTCACCAAAGATCTACCATCACATCTCTTCAACGATTTCAAGTCCAGATTGAATATACGAAACTCTCCTCCCGTTCAAATTGCGGGGGATGTTAGCGGAATCTATTTTTTGTACACATTATTAGTTCTAGCCCATTGTTGGTTAGCTTATATGTAATGGCCCATTGTACTAGCTTGTATTTATACGTATTCAATAACCCAATTCCAATTCATGGGAAATTATCACTTAGCATGGAATGCTAATTTAGAGTGAGCGGCTATCTTTTAAAAACAAATTAAATGTGGTTATTATATTCAAACCTTACACATTTTGTTAGATTACTCATTTTCCCTTTAAAAATGTAGTCGAAGTTTAAGTGTTGTCTTAGCATTATCCTACAAATAATGATACATTTAAAAAAAATGTATTACGGTTATAAGTTATAACGTATAGTCATTCCAGAAGCCTGAGATTGTCATTACACTCCATATTCCAATATGTTACATCAAAAGTCAAACAGTGTACATATAGAGTGAAATAAATAACCTTTCCTAATAAAAAGAACTGGGTGTTAAGATTTTGTAGAGTTAGTATGAGAAGCAAGCCATGCCTCTACAATGACCAAAGCTTCTTCAGGCTTATACAATGCCACCGAATGACCCGCACCCTGCAAAAAACAATCGCAATTAATCACCATCATAATCCCTACAACTTTTATGCACACTATCACCATTATAATCCCGACGCACATATGTAGATAAGTTACAAGTTCTCACCTTAATTGTCGCATATCTCAAAGAATATTTGGCTTTTGAGTACGTCTTCTGATACCTATATATATATATATATATATATATATATATATATATATATATATATATATATATATATAATATATATATATATATAATATATATATATATATATATATATATATATATAAAATACAAGAATATGGGCAGCGTTCGATTACCAAAACTAAGGTGAATTGAATGGCTTTTGTTATTTCGTTTTATAAAAATAATAAACTTACCCAGCGACTTGACTACTAACGAACCATGGCTTCCATGTGTTTACAGTTGTAAGATTAAGACTATTGATCCACTGCTTCGTGCCCATATATGGAAATGTCATGTCATGATCACCACTGCAAATCAATTCAATACCATTTCAATTACACTAGCAGAAAATAATCAAAATAATTATCTACATCTTTCGTATATTTATAATTAATATATTCAAAACCTCAAGCATAAATTGGATACAAGTTTGAGAGAGAGAGATTACTTGATGATCAAAGCATGGCAATTTTTGGTAATAAGCTTTTTATGGTATGCCAAACTGCTGAAGATGTTGTAGGAGTAAATTATGGTGTCGTTTTTCCCATATAAAGCACGAATGCTTGTGTTAGTGAACTGCCAATTATCTACTGTACCCTGTACATTAAACAAAGGTCCTTAGCTATAATGAAAAATTGTGGTACATATTGAATTAATTCTCTTGAAAACAATACTTTGTAACAAAGGACAGATTCTTTTTTGTTGGGCTATATATATCAACTGCTAAATAAGATTAATATTAACGTGTGTACCTCACGAATGTGGAGAGCTTGTCGGACGGCTTTTGTGTTTGCCCAAGTATTAGAATAAAAATAAATGGATTCCTATATATTAAAGACAAAATATGATATTTAATTAGTATGTATACACGTGTTCATTAACTAATTGTGAAGAAAACATGTGTATTATTCCATTATTTGCTGTAGTGTTAATGTAAGACATTTAGAGAGTTTTTAGGATTTAATTACTCGACAAATCGATTTTGGATCTTGTGTGTCGCAAAGTGGCTCTAAGATGTGATTTACGTTAATTCGAGCTAGACACTGCAATCGAGAACATTTAGGATATATGAGGAATGAATATACTATATATAACAAAAAGACAATGAAAATTCGTTAATCGACTCACCTCATTTATGGGCCGAAGACTATTCATACATAATGTGTTATTTGGATCTACATATACATATTTACCTTCACAATTTTCTTTTGCTGGCTGACAAAAATCAGAATTATGTGTTTAGGATTAATATATATAGTTAACCTTAAAGTAACAAATCTTATTTCGTTTCTATATGTAATTAATTAATTAATGACTCATGGTACCTCGTAGATTTCATCTTCTATTAATGCAGCCCGATAAGCAAATTCAATTCTTGAATTAAAATCTATGAACTTGTCTGTTAGCGGGTTCACAATCAAGAAACCCTACAATCCAAAGTACATGAACTATGAATCCAAAAGAAATAGAAGAAAAATAAAAATGTTTACTTATATTTAAGTTACCTTGATGTTCAATTTTGGTTTAACCTTTCGTTCATTGCCTACAAAATGGTAAAAAGAACATCATGTTCTCATTTTTTTCAAAGGATGATCATCATGTTGTCCTTTTTAACTAAAACTACAATTTTTTTACCATTGTATATTTTTGAAACGACATTTGGAATGATTATTCCCATATAAGAAATCCCCGTAATATACAATGGATTACTGAGAAACATAGGATGGTCTATGAGCCACTGCAAGATGAACATCAATTAATAAATAAAAACATAATATTCTAGTAGTATAGTACATAAATGACATACCAAATTTTATGTACGTATATATATATAGGAAAGATTGATATATTAATTAAAAAGCTTTTAGGATATATATTGATCCTAATTAAATTATGTTTCTTACCTTTCTTGTAAAATCGTACGCATGAGTAACTACAAGAGAATCGGTACTCCTTGATGATTCCCATGTCTTGGCATATGAAAATCCAGTGCCAACGGGTAGATCTATAAATATGACGTTAGCCGTCTATAAAATACAAAAAATATATATTTTAGATTGTTACATGATATAATTAATTAATTAGAGAAATGGATGATATATATATATATATATATATATATATATATATATATATATTATATATGTGTGTGTGTGTGTGTGTATGCTAATTAAACCTTTGTCCATGAATATGGGTTCACTTCCAAATTTACGTTAGTTCTCCTTGAATTCGCATATTTGAATTTAAGTGGACCTACAATAAAAGTTCATCGAATATAATGTTTTATATGATTGCAAATGAGAAAAATGATAAATTGAAGTACATTATATTCACATTGCAATGTCGTTTAGTTTTGAATGAACTTTAGATTCGATCTACAAAAGTCAATATTTAATTTTACAATATAGTTTGTAACAACAATTTTAAAAGATTTCAGTTCTGGAACTCATCATCAAAAATCAAAGTTCTTAGAATTTTCTTGAAATATCTCAAATAATAACAGCAAACTTGTGGAGAAATTGGGTTTTAATTTTCAGTTTTTCGACTTACATTTTGTGCGTTACTTCAATATATGGGGCCAAATTAGTATTAAAAAAAAAAGTTAAATAAGTTTCACATGCATGGTTGAGCACAATCATATTATATGCAATCTGGTTTATTTGGTATTTATGTAACTAAAAAATTTGACAACTTACAAAATGTTAATTAGGAACCCATGTGGTCCGGTTACAATTAGTTGTAAATATTAAATTGTTCTTACACATCTACAGTTTAATTATATAGTTTGTCCTAAATTATTTATATATATTTACTTGAATTAAAAATATAAAAATTCGTATTATATATCTTATTATTATCATTTCTTTTGATAATAATTAAAAATAAAAGATAAAAAAGATAGTGACATAAACAATCATATTTCACTGACTCTTTTTTTGTAGGGTATGAGTTAAAAACTTTCCCACGAAGATCTCTTTTTATGGATTATCAATAAATCTCATTACATGTGGCCAATATAAAATATATGTTGCATCAAGTTGAGTTGACTTATTTATAGCTTTTTGAAAATAACTCGTGCATGCTATATAATAGCAGAAACTAAACTATTATTTAGATCCAACTTTTTGGCTCGTTGAAAATAAAAAAGAAAATCTATTTGGATCTAACTAATATAAAATAACTATAAACGAATAATAAACGTACCGATTTGATAGAGGAATGGAACTATGCCGGAAGTTCCAGGGCCACCGGTGAGATAAAGAAGCAACGGATCTTTCTGTGGATTTCTTTGAGACTCCACAAAATAGTAAAACAATTGCACTTCTTCGTCTTTTCCGACTCCAACATAACTTTAAAACACAAATTCAATCCAATATACTATATTCTAAATCCCCAAAAACTATATCGAAGGGGAAACTTATGTTGTATAGTTCATTTAGCGTTATATAAACTCATCATAATTTCTATATGGAGAAAAAACATGCAAAGTAATACAAGTCTCTTTTGTTGTTTGAATTTTGAGAAATCATATCTGAGATTTTTCTCGTAAATGACTAACAACTGGCTGTTTCAAGAAGATTTTGATTGAAGAGGGTGAAGTTTGAAGAGCAAAGATGTAGGTAGATAGATGCATACGTACCCTGTTTCGAGCGTAAATGGAAGATTGCCAGAAAAGCCAGGGAGGTTTTCCACGATTGACTTCGAATGTGAGAAGGCTACCATGTGCGATTGCAGTATCAACAGTATGATGATGAAAGAGATTCGCATTTTGCTTCTGGGCTCCATAACACCTTCACTTCAACACCTCTATGAGTATATATATGGACAGATTTACAACAATGATCCTCATGGTTTCTTAATTTTCAAGATTCGTCCTTAACGTTTTTCGTTGATGAGAATGGGCCTTGTGGTTTCGCAAATTTGCATAGATGATCCTTTTGCGTCACCGGTTTGAATTCATCCGTTAAGGCTACACGGACTAGTCGTGTAATGGTCTCCTTAAGATGAGGTGGCAAGTGGCAACCCCACATTACGCGTGAACAATGTAAGTCGGTGGCGTAGGTTGACTTACACTGCGTTACAAGGGGGAGAGAAAGAGGCAACAGTAATGTGACCTTTTTTTTACCATTGGCAAAAAAAAAAAGCACTATCAAATATTTACCTAAAAATACAATATTATTTCATATATATTTTCATACTACAATCACCAAAAATTTTCTCTTAAACACACTATTTCTCATTCACCAAACATCCAAAAATGAACTAGAATTCAAAAACCCAAACACTCCACGCACCCCAAAAACACCCACTTCACCTACTAGTTCATACGCACTCAACACAACATTTCGTCAATACACACATTTTGAATCACCAACTGGAGGGTTCATGCACATGCTATTTATAACAACTTCACTTATTCCACAACCATTCCAACAAAACTACTTCCAAAAACCAAACACCACACCAACTACTGTCATACCCGTCCGGTAGACAGGTGGACAAATGTAAAACAATAAATTGATTTAAATTTTTTCTATAACATCATTTTTTTGTTCTCATATTTAGCAATGTACCCAATTATATTACATACGAATGAATAAAAAAATAGCAAAATATTAAGCTTTATACCCTCCTTTATTAGGTTAAGGTTAGGTCGGTATATTGAAATCTCAATCTTTGATCGTGAAACCAAGCTTTATATCCTACATTGTCATCTTCACCGGTAACCATGTAGTAGTTGACACCAATTAAATGTTTATTTATGTAACAATGTTTCCGTATTCTTTTACCAATTTAGGCAACTTATACAAATAATCTTAGATATCGGAATGAGACTGTCATTAAAGGATATTAATCAGCAATTAAAAAATAAATGACTAAAAATTATTAAAAAAAAAGATTTTCACATTCTTTACAAATAACCACGTAATGATTATACAAATTCCTCAAACTTTCAGCTCACACTACTCTAAGATCTTTCTTAAAAACTAATCATGGCTATACTTAATAGAGAAAAGGTAAAACAAAAACATTATAAGGGTATTATTACCACAAATCCCAGCAACAAAACATCATAATGATACACAAACATAGATTTTTTTACTTTAATTATTTCTATTCTAAATTTGTGCGCCGGTATGATAAAAAAAAAGTACAAAACTTCTATCATTACAACTGGTTTCTCGGGAGTAAAAATGTGAATCACTTGATCAACCTTCACCATATCCTGCAATACATTGATGTTTAGTTTCTAATAACCGTTCCATAACATTTTTTCATTTCTGTATGTGTATTTTGCTCATAATAGCAATGTGTTAATGTGGAAAAAAAAAGTGAAAATGCAACGTTATAATAAAAAAAATGCTATATTAAACATTTGAATGGAGGTGCCTTGCTATTTCTTGCGTGTCTATTCTTCTGCATTTTCAGTTACATTAACCGACTGTATACACCAAATTTCACCAAAAAATATGAAACATAAGACAAATAAACATCATTATTGAACTAAAGCCATATCTAAATTAATTTTGTTTGGTTCTGATGTAACCAGTAGAATATAATATTTTTTTCCAACTTAAAGAAAATTAATTTTAAGATTGAATTCAATTTGTATTTCAAAATTCAATCACATGGACAAACCCAAAGAAAAAACATGACACTTGATAGACCAAATTGGCAAATAATTAAACACAATTTAAAAGTAAGAAAAATGGTTAGTTAACTTAATAGACTTCTGTCTCATCCTTTTATTCCCACCAGATTCAATGCAACCAAAGTGTCATAAATTCAAAAATAAATAGTAAGAGAAAACAATTAACATAAACTTACATTGCATTGTTATCTTCTTCAAAGTTCAAATGGATGGTGATGGTCTACCATATTGTAGCTTTTCTGGGGAGACGTGGGCAGCAGCAAATTAACATCATGTGAAAAAACCCCACTAGTTTTCGTAAAATTCAGAGGTTATGATATTTTCAGAACAATTCCAGTACAAGAAGTCATCATGACAGAATCTTTAGTGCCAAAATCAAATTTATTGCAGGATAAATGGAAAAGTATCATATTATCCCTAAATTTCTCAAATTATTATCTGATTGTAATTCTTGAAATCAGAATAATTACTTAAGAAAAGAAAATCCAAACACCCCTTTTATACTTGCTCCAAAAGATATAATGAACACCAACTACTTCCTACTTTGAACTTTGAAGTAGTGTTTGGGATTTGCAAAACATACCTTGAGAAATTTTAGTCTAAATCCAATGGCAACAACTGGAAATGGAGACTTATATCAAAAATTTAGGTGAAGAGTCTTCTAAAAGGGGAAGTCATGAAGCTGTAACCATTTCGCCTTAAAAATGCAACCTCATGCCTTGCTTCCACCATGTCCATGCCTCCACACATTGTATCTTATCCACCCAACAGATGACACCATGTGCACATACCCTTGAAAGAAAACGCTCATATTCACACTAAATATTAACATCACTTTACTTGAATTCGGCAAAATTAAGTGCGTGATATTTTATAAGAAGATGTTTCACAAAAAAAAATGACAAAAAACTACAATGAACTTACCTGATATGGTTCTTCCAAGATGGGTTCATTCATCATTTAGGCGTGGAATCAGATGCTTGGATTTTTGGTCGTTCTTTTGTTTATTCAAGTTCATCTTCAGGCTTATTTCCTTCAATTAATTGGTTTCAGCATACCTGCTAACAATTTCTATTCCCAATCTGTAAAGGTCATCAAGATCAATCAACATGAAAAATACAAAGTATAAAAAATCGACATAACTATTAAAAAGAAAAGCCATTACCTCAATGGGGCAACATGTTCAACTATTTCGAATTCTACAACAACGAAATCAACAATTTTGATGTTAGATTCACACCCAACTCTTCATCTTCACATAGATCTACAACTTCTTCCTACTTCCAACATAACAAATTCAACTTCCTTTTTTCTTTTTCTTGACAGCTTCTCCTCTTCTTTGGCAATTAAAGACACCTGAAAGGGAAAAAGAACTTTACATGCATATGTATCTGAAAACAAAACTCATAAAATCTTTACCTCTTCCGAAATCACCCTCTCCAACTGGGATTTTTAGGGACTGAAGTGAACACTCGATTATTTCAACACTCTCAGAATCAGAGTGACATGTCGATTTTGATACATTTGATTGTGGTTTGACTTTTCCATCAACATCTTCAAATTTCTACATGAAAATTATACAGAACACAATTATTAATACATATGAAATCGAAAAATTGAAACATAAATGAACTTTAACTTCAATTATACATCGAAGTTGAATATACAATGAAGTACAAATCAAAGGAATCGATTACAGAGACAATAATTTTACCTTATGTGAAGAAACAATAGACGAATTGCAATCCATAAAATCAAATGAAGCAATTATTTTTACCAATTGAAACAAACAAATGCAATGAAGTACAAAGGATAGGAATCGATTACAGAATTGAATATTTTACCTTAGGTGAACATATGTCAGACGAATTGGAACCCATAGGATTAAATGAAGCAATTGCTTTTACCAATTAAAAGATGTAAACATCTAACATAGAACCATCAATATATAGGCGGATGAGGATGAACTAATTCAGCAGTTACCGAAATAGAGGCATGGACGCAATCGTGGGTAGAAGAAGCAGGACCCGATCAAATGAACTGCAAACAACCGCCGAATTGGAGTTTATGCGGCTCAGATGAAAAGTTGATTGAGTTTGAACGACTACGATTTGGACGACGGTTTTCCACTCACCGTCGTCCATAGTATTAATAATTCAAACAATTTCAACAACCTCAAACCCAACCTTCCCAACAACCACATTTCCAACCCCGATCTCCCCACGATGATGACATCGAAAAGGTGTTGGAAACTCAACCGCCAAAATCTTCGAGAAGAAAAAACAAAGAAAAAAGCCAAAAAGCTAAAATAAAATATTGGACCAAAGATGAGGAAATGACGCTTTTAAAATCTTGGATTCAATATCTTTAGATGGGAAGACGAGCAACGCCCTAACCGGGACGACATTTTGGAACATCATTCTAGAACACTTCTACTCACAAATGGGAAAGGGTTAATACCAGACTTACGATTGTGTAAACGACAAATGGCGCGAGTTAAGAGCTACTTGCATAAATTCTAATGGAATCTACATGAACTTCACCAACGTGCGTCAAAGTGGGTGTAATTGATTCGGCCTTTTAAGCACCTTTCTTCAACAATAAGAAACCACTCATTGTGGTAGACCGACTGGCCATCAAAAAGCATGGCATATTATGTGAGATGGTCCAAAGTGGGTCCATGATCCGAGCTTGCTTAGTCAATCGCAATCCACCGGCTCTAACAAATGTGGGAGAACTTAGGAGTCGGACATGGATTTTGGATTTGACCTCAATGATGATGAGGAGGAGGAGTTGCAAGAAGTCACCCTTCGACCCCTGATGGGAAAGACAAAGCGAAAAGGGCGGCATCATCATCGAAAATGGACAAAGGAAAAAAGTATCGTTGAAACAGATGCCATGCAAGTGCTTTCGCAAAAAACTTGATGATCATCTTATCTTTCATTAAAAAAAAATTAGAGTTTAAAAATTCAACTCAAGAATAGAAAAAAATATTTAACGACTTTAAAATAATAAACACGCCTCCCCATATAGATCTTCCACCCGATCAACTCATGTTATTTAAAAAACTCCAACGCAAAATAAAAGACAAATATAAGGTTTATAATTTCTAGGTTTTAATGTAATTTTTAATTTTTAGTAATGAAATTTTTATTTAGTTTAATGAAATTTTTATTTGGTTTAATGAAAATTTTATTTTGTTTTAGAAAAAGCTATGTTTTCATTAAAATTATGTATTACACACACACACACACAGAACAAGAATACAGAGTATTAGCGACGTCGCTTTTTGCGACGACAAGACCTTTAACGACGACACAAGACAAGCCACGCTTGGTGTCGCCGCTAAAATGCTAATGTCGTCGCTAATAGCGTCGTCGCTAAAGGTATGGACCGGAGATCCGTCGAAGACACACCACTTTCAATCCTGACATTTGGTTCGGAACATGATCCAACAGATAGGGTTTATTCATCTGGAAGGCAATAGAGACGACACCTTTAGCAGCGACATGTCGTCGTTGTTGGTATCAATCCGTTGACCCACATTGACGAAATCTTGGCCCTACGATTCTCACCCGATCCAACGGTCGATAATCTCCGGAAAGTGCGTGTTGATTTCCTTCTAGATTGTCGCCGCTAATAGCTTCTATGTCGCCGCTATTAGGGTCGCCGCTAAAGGGTTGCCCCTTTTGTTCAGCTTCCTCATCCCAGACGACGTATAATCTGTAACCATCTCCAATGGGTCACTCCGGCGACGATTTGCGACATCACCGCTGACGCCACTGCTCTCCACCGCCGATTGACCTCCAAAGCTGACTCCCACCGCCAATTAACCTCCAAAGCCGACTGCCACCGCCTGCCGACTGTCACCTCCGATTACGACCTGGTATCTCCGACGAGGTTCGTTTTCTCTACCCATTTCTCTTTCTCTTCTTTTCTGAACACCCGTTACGAATGACTGAATGATTTTTTTCTGATTTTAAGTTCTGGGTGTAAGGACACACATCACCAACGATTGTAGTTTCGTTTTTCCGGCAAGAACACGTTAGTTTTCTATTTCACTTCTGAATATGTATTGTATGCATGTGGATATATTAATCATTGTATGAATTTATGAATGTATATGTAAAATTGATGTATATATGTGAAACTATTGACTGTGGATATCTTGATCATGGTATGAATTTATGAATGTATATGTAAAATTGATGTATATATGTTATAGAGCTTTGATAAACTCGTATATGTTTATTTACATTACATTACATGAATTTATACAGAGGTTATACATAGGAATCAACTGAAACTCAGAGATATACTCCTACTTCTATGGTTTGACTAAGCTGACTTTTGACTCTACTATGAACACGTTTTTAATATTTGCTAATACCCTTCGGCAAGCTCAAGGGCGGGACGGACTTGAAGCTTGGAACTTAGAAGAAGAACACGACTTTTAGCTAGTGGTTTTGTGAATATGTCAGCCAATTGGTCAACAGAGGAAACATAGCAGATTTTTAGTTGTCCATACTCTACTTGCTCACGAATGAAATGAAAATCAAGAGCAATGTGCTTTGAACGTGTGCTGATTACAGGCTTCTTGCTCATGAATATAGCGCCTACATTGTCACACAAAATTAAAGGTGGATGACTGATTTGTGCTTGAAGATCAGCGAGTAATTGTTTTATCCACATTAATTCTGCTGTAGTATAAGCTAGTGAACGATACTCTGCTTCAGTACTTGATCTAGCCACCACTTTTTGTTTTCTAGATGTCCAACTGATGAGGTTTGTCCCATGAAAAACAGCAAATCCATACTGTGAACGACTGTCATCACGATCAGAGTTCCACCCAGCATCAGAAAAAGCATGTAACGACGTAGCTGTGGTTGGTTTGAAGTGTAAGCAATGGGTGATCGTCCCTTTTAAGTAACAAAGTATTCTTTTGACAGCTTGCCAATGTTGTTGTGTTGGAGAGTGCATAAATTGACATACACGATTAACAGAGTATGCAATGTCCGGTCATGTAATAGTAGCATATTGGAGAGAGCCAACCACTTGTCTATATAGCGTAGGGTCATCAAATGGATCTCCATCTTGATGAAGACGAAACTATGGATCAGCTGGGGTGGTAATTGATGAAGCCATGGACATGTTGCTGCGATCCAGTATATCTTGTATGTAGGCTTGTTGTGACAAAGTTAACTCATTGGCAGTTCTGGTAATCTGAAGACCAACGAAAAAAATGCAAATCACCAAGGTCTTTCAATGAAAAAGCACGATCCAATGCATCAATAAACCGCTGTAGATGAGCATCATTTGTACCTGTCACAATGAGATCATCAACGTATACAAGTACATATATGGTTGATGATGTGGAAACATGAACAAATAAGGAAGTGTCGGATTGACAAGCACGAAAGCCATTTGTAACAAGATATTGTTTGATTTTGGTGAACCAGGCTCTCGGTGCTTGCTTAAGCCCATATAAAGCTTTATGTAATCGACACACGTGATTTGGTTTCGTTGGATCTTCAAAACCCTTGGGTTGTTTCATATAAACAACTTCGGACAAGTCAGCATTTAAAAACGCATTGTTGATGTCAAGTTGCCTTACACACCATCCTTGAGAGAGTGCAATTGACAACACTAAGCGAATTGTGGTTGGTTTTATAACAGGACTAAATGTGACAAAGAAGTCAACTCCTGCTTCTTGATTGAATCCTTGAGCAACCAACCTTGCTTTGTGTCGTTCTATAGAACCATCCGCTCGCCTTTTTACCCTGAAAATCCACTTACAGCCAACAACATTAGTATGAGGGGACAATTAACAAGTGACCAAGTGTCATTTTTCATGAGAGCATCATATTCTGCTTTCATCGCATTTGGCCAACATGTATGCTGATTTGCTTGATGAAAGGTTCGAGGTTCAAAGTTCACAATGGAAGAGGTGGTGGCTGTGAATGCTTTGGGTTTGAGAGAGTTGGTACGGGCACGAGTTACCATGGAGTGTTGATTTTGTTCTGCTGGACGAAAATGGGATGGAATAGGATTGATTTGTTATTGCCCGTGAGCTAATGGTAGATTGTTGATACTGAGAAGTTGAAGAGGTGAAAACAGGTGTGTGATGATCAGGTTGAGGGCTGGTTGGTGACAGACTAATTGGAGTTTGAGGAGGAGTAGTAGATGTGACCGATGGTTGTGGAGATGGAGTAACGGATGGAGTCTGTGTTGGTTGATTTATGGGACGAAGATGATCAGCACATTCAAGAATAGTAGATGGTATGGAGGGTAGATTTGGAACTGATGTAACAATATTGGGTGTGGGAGTGAGGTAAGGAAAGGTATCTTCATCAAAGACTACATGACGGGAGATGTATATTCGAGAGGTAGGTTGGTGAAAACATAGGTAACCCTTGAGTGAGGCACTGTATCCGATGAAAATACAAGGTAGAGATCGAAAATCAATTTTATGTTTGTTGTAGGGACGCAAGAAAGGGCAGCACAAACAACCAAAAGTTTTTAAAAAATTATAGTCTGGAATTTTGTGATATAACTTTTGGTATGGAGACTGATAATTTAGTAAAGGTGTGATGGTACGATTATGTAAGTATGTGGAGGTTTTGAAAGCATGTTCCCAAAATAGTTGAGGTAAAGAAGATTGAGCTAGAAGAGTGAGTCCTTTTTCAACTATGACACGATTTTTACGTTCTACGGCACCATTTTGCTCTTGTGTATGTGGACAAGAAACACGATGTATAATACCATTATTTTGAAGAAAGGTTGACACATTTCGATATTCACCACCCCAATCAGTTTGTAAGCTTTTAATATCACATGAAAATTGATTTTTAATCATTGTTCGAAATTGTAAGAATGTAGA